CTCATTAGGGATGCTGGCCAAAGGACTGGGCTCTGCTGCTCGAGAGGGGCGTGGCAATGGGGATTTCCTCTTCCTGGAGGTGGAGCCATTCCATTTCCGGCTCCATCCCTGCCCAAAGATGTGGGAGGGACCCGCACCTCCCACACCCCCCAGACACCCCCTCAACAAAATTAATGAACAAACGAAAACTGATGGAATTATACTCAGCTACGTACGAAATGAAAAACGTGCGAAGTGTTTGCGTGGTACTCGAATGTACGTCATGAAGGCCGAACTCGTCCAGCGGCCTAGCGCCTGGATGGTCGAATCTGGAATCCCAGCCTCCGCCGCAGCCGTAGCGGCTCCGATCCGGAAACTATGACCGGAATAACCCGACGTGGGGATTCCTGCCCGCGTCAAAGCCGACCGTACCATCTCCACAAAGCGAGGTCTCGACAAGGGGACTCCGCTGGCAGTTCGGAAGAATGCCCCCCTCCTCAGAGCCCCGGCGGGGAGCGTAAACACGTACGGCATCTACAGGGCAGAGGAGGTCGCCCGTGCTCCCGATGAAAACCTCTACGCCTCGCCCATACTGGTCGGTCTTCGACCGTTTTCTCAACATCCGACCGTCCTCGCTGACCGACACGTCACCCCATGCTAGATGGATTGCTGAGTTAAAAGCTGACGGAGTAGGGACGGTCAACTCCCCGGCGCGAAAGAAGCCAAAGAAACACGTCGTCGCTGCAGCCCAGAGTAACGCCTCATCATAGCTAACACCCCTAGGCTGACCCATCGATGGGGGCTGCATCCGGCGTAAGAGCAGCGGCGTTATCGGTAGGCGGCGGGGCTGCGTCGGCCCCGACTCAGCCTGAACTCTCCAGACACCCCTCATTATCTGGGCGTGCCGCACCGCCGCCAGGTACGTCCTTATCGTTGACGGTACCACGCCCTCCTGCGCCAATGAAGTCACGAAATAGCATAACATCGTCTCAGCTACAGGAAAAGGGGCGGGAACCCCGAACGCATAGCAGAATGAGAGGTAGCGTCTCAAACCCGACTGATACGTCCTCCTCGTGGAGTCGGCTACGCCGCGGCTACTATAGAGTAGAACTGCTCCGTCCAGCTTCGAGATGTCCAGCCCCCCCTGCTGAGTAGCAATCCGGGCAGCTCCGGTGAAAGGTCGGTTGGAGCCTCGTCCGGGCAGTGAGCCTTGGAGAGAAAAACTGACCGGCGATTACGCGATAGGTCGTCCACCAGCGTGTTCTCCCTGCCGGGAAGATGTGACGCCACCATCTCAAAACCAAACCACGCCTCCAAAAAGAACAGGCATCGAATAAGGCTCATCATCGGTCCGTCGCGGCAGGACGGTTTATTCACCGAAAACACAGCCGGCTCATTATCGCAGAGCCATCGTACGCGGTGGCCCCTCCAGCGGTTGCCCCATACCGTTGCCGCAACCAATCCCGCAAACAGCTCTTTGAACGATATGCTCCTATCGCGCGCCTCCTGAGGCCACTCTAGCTGGAACCAGCTGGAGCCGGACCAACCCCCGCAGCCCCAGCTACCCGACGCATCCGACGCGCGGAGAATGCAGGTCGGACAAGGAAACATCGCAACGCCGTTCCAGTGAGCCGCGAACGTGCTCCACCACTGGAGGTCAGCACGAAACCCCCTGTTCAGCCTTATGTGGTGGTGGCTCCGGGTCGCACTCGGCAAACAGAGTAAGTCAATCATCCGCCGGAGGAACGCCCTCCCGGGTTTTATGACGCAGCACGCGTGGTGGAGGGTGCCGACGAGGGACTCCAGCTGTCTCCGCCGACAAGACATGCGTGGGTACCATTGCACCAGGAGCTCCTTCAACCGCGCGAATTTGTCGGCTGGGAGGCGCAACTGACCGGCCGCCGTGTCAATTTCGATCCCAATCCAATTTCGATCCCCCTTCCAGCTTGTGGGCCGCTGACGGCACCCCCAGTTCGTCGCAAACGGCAATAATTCGGGTCAGGTGCGCTTGACATTCGTCTGAGCCCGCGGGGCCCATGGTATTATAATCGTCCAGGTAATGGTCGACTGCCGAGACCCCCTTAGTGACCATCACCCACTGCAGCGCGTCTGCTACCGCTGTAAATATTTTGGAGGCCGAGCGCAGGCCAAACGGAGCCCCGCTTGTATGCTCGTCCCATAGACCACAAGGAGAGGGCGATCTGATGGGTGCACCGGCACCAGGCGATAAGCCGACTTTATGTCAAGTTTCGCCAGGAGCGTATATACCCTGACTGAGTCTCCGGGCGGCCGAGGCGACTGGCTCAACAGAGGTATATTTTAAAGTGCACAGGCCCAGCCGGATGCCCTCGTTGACGCTCGCCCCCTCGGGATGGGAGAGGTCGCCGCCATTTCCCGGGGGCGTGCCCTTTCGGGACCACCCCCATCCGGTTGACGTGCACACCTGGGATTTGATCCGGCGGGAACGGGCTGAGCATCCGGCCCCCGGCGCGCTCAGCCGGGATGTAGTCCGTAATTACGGCTGGGTGTGCCCTGGCAGAAGGCATGTTTTCGGCAGACGACGACAGGGGAGTGGCGTGGTCGACGAAAACCGTGCTCGATTCCATCCTGCGCGTAGCGGGCAAGGGCTTGGTCGGGGTGGCCCGTGAGGGCCAGGCGCCAGACGGGCAGCCGGTCGGTTAGGGGGGAAGATATCTCCAGCAGCTCGGGGTGGGCCGCACGCAGCTCCGGCGGCCGTGCAGCATCCAGCGTGAGGAGGTCCCTTATATACGGGTACGACCCTGCCAAGAGCAGAGAATGCGCCGATAATAATGGTCTCAAAACCTTAGAAAAACAAACAAAAGAATAAGGGGGGCTTGCCCGGGAGAGGCGACGCCAGCTACGACCAGTCAGTTCAACTCTTAGTCAGCTCAATTAGCTGTGGAGGAGGGCGGGCCTCCCGTGCCGCCCCTGGGTGTCACCGTGCCCCGAATTGCTCATTGCGGGCGCCTGCGGCCGACCATCACTGCACTCCGCTGCTGGGTGCGGGCCCCTGCATTTAGCGCACATGTGTGTGTATCGGCACCATGAGTACATACATCGCGAGCCCCCGGGAGAGTTGAAGAGTCGGCCTATCTCTGTCGACGCCGGGCGGCCGGATCCCCGTGGAGCGTTCCGCGCCAACGCTCCCGTGTCAGCCGGATCGTGCGGGCAGTCAGGTGACGAATGGGTGTCTGAGAGGCAGTATTTGCAACGGCATCTGTTTCGCCCGCCCCGCGAACGCCTCATTGTACAGGGCTGCGTCGACGATTCCCCAGTCGAGGGAGCCGCGGTTGGCTGCTTCAGCTTGGCGGCGGAAGGCCATGTCGTACGAGGCCCAGGCCGAGATCAAAAACGTCCTACTCGCTTTTGTTATCGTTCTTAGATAGGCGAAGATGTGCGGCGCCTTATCAGGGTATGCGGTGGCTAATATCGCCGCCATGGTGGCGAAGCATTCGGTCCAAACGTTTACGTCTGTGACCAGGCTGCGCCGCGGCCGCTTGGTGTGGCAGCAAGAGCCCACCGTCTGGATTTGCCACGATTCGGAGAGGATTTTCCATATTTCGATGTATTCCTTCTCCACGATCTTTTTTACCAACTTCCGGGGACCGAGCCGAAGCCCGCGATAATCGGGAAGTCTGCTGGTGAGGGTGGGGCCACGCCAGATGTGGTTGGCGCGGTCACGGCCGCCGGCCACGGTGTCGTTGGAGCCGGGGCCCGTCCCCCGAAAAAACAAACGGCCACAACCAGGTGGTGATGGTGCTCGAGGTAGCCCCGCTGCCGGCGGAATCCACCGAAAACGTCGGGAGGGACCCTACGGCAAGGCATAAGGGGAAGAGCGTCAACCACGCGCACGACCCACTAGGCGCGATCGCCCGCAACCACCGTTACGCGTAGGTCCCCGCGTAGACAGGGGCATCCCGGTGCCCCAAGTCACGGGTGGTCCGTGGCACCCTGGGCCCCGGCGGGCCGTAGGTGCCTAGCGGCCGGTGGGCAGGTCCCCGCCTGCCTGGGAACAGAGAGACGTAAACGGGAGCATCCCAGTACCCCGCGGCACGGGCGGTCCGTGGCACACTTGGCCCTGGCGGGACGTGGGTGCCTAGCGGTCCGGGCACCTCTGGTCCCGGTGGACCGTGGGTCGCCGGACAAGAGCTATGGGAGAGACAGCCCGGCTTACCCGAATCGGAGGGGAGCGGAGCCGATGATGAGGAAGAGGACGACGATGGATGAGCACCTGCAGGAAGCGGGAACTGAGGCGGCCGCCACCCTGGCAGCAATCAGGCGGTCAATCACTACCAGCTGTTCGGCGGAGAAAGTCAGCTCCTCGTGTAGGCCGGAAGTGGCACCCGCGTCGTCGGAGGCCATCTGCGCCACTAGGATGCGAGGGACAAGAAAAATGAGCACGCAAGGGAGGAGCTTCCACCCGCGACGAGACTACTAGCAAAATGCCCTGACCACGTGCTCTTTCACCAAGGCGCATGCGTGCATCGTGGCCGGCTCGGTTAACCAACGTTAACCGTTATTAGCATACATTATAACTGTATGTGTAAGTGTAGCATACATTATAACTGCATGTGTAGCATACATTATAACTGTATGTGCGGTAGTATAGTATTTGTGCATACTTTGTGCTTGTCGACCAAGTCTCTATCTAAAGTTAGCTACTTGTTACTTGTCCATAAACAATGCTTACATGTTGTTTGTCTCTTCAAAAGAACAGTTTTAGTTCCCTGCGATCATGGAAAATACTGCAAAAAGGATAATTTCCCATGCTTGAAAGCCAACTCTCCCCCCTGAGCTATACAACTTCTCCTTGAAATTTTCCACGCTCCAAGAAAAGTTCCCACACAACGGCATTCCAGCTGGAGGGGAGTTTTGTTGAGACTCCAACTCATTAATGACCAGGGCCATCCCCTCCAACTGATGGGATTCAATGTGACAGTGAAGAAACCAGTACCCGGGATTGTCTGCAATAAAGTCAATAACAACATACCCACCAGCTGGTACTATGACAGTGTCTTTGTAGATAGTCTTGTCTGTTATGGAAATATCTTTAGGGGCAGTGTTGCCTGTCCAGGTAGGTGCTTTGCGACAGGGGGTACCGCATGAAATATCTGGAGTTGAACCATTAACTCGGTTGTTTGAAGCATTATAGCTTCCATAACCAACCTTTACTACATGGAAACTATGGCCATGAAGGTGAATGGGGTGTGCAAACGAGAACCCTTCAGTTATGTTAAGGGATGAAAAGACAAAGCGAATTGTCTTTCCAGACAATCCACTTTCTATGTTAATCGTGTGGACACATGTGCAATCATCTTCGTCCAAATTGCATTCGTCGCTTAAGTCTTTGCAGAGCTCTGAGTCTATTTGCTTGTAGCCTTGCGTCTGCGGAGATGTGCTCGGAAGGATGAAGTTGCGGCCATTGACTGTGCTTGTGAATTCGGCACTGTCAAATCCAAAGTTAAAAAACCATGTTGAGTTTATATTCACCGCTTTCGACTTTGGGAGCTCATTGCCCGGAGTAGCAACAAAGAGTTGTAGCTCATCTACATGCAAATTTGAACAGTCATATCCAGAACCAGTCAAATAATTTTCAAAGGGGCAGTTAGCAACTTTGCAAACATTTTCCGTGTCACATAATCTTTTTGTCCCATAGTTGGCTTGTATTACAGCCTTGTCGATAGAGCTGTCATCATACAACAGTACAGCAATTGCATCATTAGTTTCAAGGCCGCCGTCTCTCTCCAGTGTATCACAATTAACCTCCAGTGTTTCAGCTCGAATAATATAGTTGGTTTTTCCTGTCTGGTCTGCAGTCAGTAGGAAGTCATAGCGTTCTCCCGTATGAATGATGATGTAATCGACTTCCACTGGCTGAATGAAGTAGCCGTCAGTACCCACAAGTAGTAGGTTGTGACCATCAATTGAAAACCGATAAGCATAGTTTCCTTGAGCCCCGATCAAACGAAACCGGTAAGTTTCTCCACTTTCAACATTGAATGAACTCAGCGAGGCTTGGGAAAAGTCAATATCTTTGTGTTTTCCTTTGCCGTTGATGATTCCAGACCAGTAAGGAACTGGGCCTACCTCAGCTCCATCCGCTGAACAAGTATTTTCATAGATTTGGTTGTTAGTTGTTGGAACCTGGTCAACATTAGTGCCCTCATAGTATCCCAGTGATGAGTGAATTTGGACAAATAGATCCAACGATGCTTCTCTCTGCCAGTCGAGAAGAGACAGAGTGTGATTGCCTGGGAGGTCAATGAATGAAGGGAGACCCTCGGGAATTTCATTCTCCTTCACTATGAGAGCACCAAACAGTCCGTCCGTTCTCTGTGGACCACTATGGGAATGGTACCAAAAGGTTCCAGTTGGTGTTGCTTTGAAGATATAGCGAAACGATGTACCAGCTTCAATTGGGCACTGAGTAATGTAGCCAACCCCATCCATCCATGGGGTTCTTCGCTGGTGCATTCCATGCCAGTGGATTGAAGTCCCTTCAGTAGTCAGAAGGTTAACTACGTCAACAACGACTGTTGCATTTTCATTGACAATTAGGGTTGGCCCTGGAATACGCTTATTGATAGCCAAGAATGATCTGTAGGTGCTACCATCAACTGTATGAATATCCGTGCATTTGTTCAAGTCTTCACAAGCAGTCTTATTGGCTGCAGGTTCAGGGATTCCATTGGCATCAAGAAAGTACACCCGACCTCGTGTTCCTCTTGCTGCATCAGTTTCATATGCTGTGAAAGTCTGCAGATGCTCAATTACAAGCTTAAAATAGCACACATCTTCATAACACTCGCAAACAGCTTCGTTATTGGCTGGCGTATCATCACAGATATACTCTGGGGGCTCTTGGGCAGTGACTATTGGGGCCACAAGAACTGAAACCAACAATATTATTACAATTGAAAACATTTCCCTCTCAGCCCTACAGGAAGAAAAAAAACAGTGAGCCAAAGAAACATGTCTCACTATCACGGAGTGTTTTTAGAGCTGAATTACTTTAATAATACCGTAGTAGATACCACACATCAGTATCTAGCTATACAGCAGCGGACAAAAATCAGCCATACCAACATAGCTAGCTAATAGCTAGCTAATAGCTGAATACCCTGTTACCTTGAAGCTAGCTGCGCCTCACAAAATGCAGTTGTTCTAGATAAAAGCCGGGGTGCCCTCCAAAGAGATCCGACGTGCAGTATTCCCAGGGCCACCCTTAGCTGAGCCAAGGGTGTGTCTGACTGCCTCGCAATTTTTTGCACGATGATACGATAAACTAATCTCCTGCAACCAGAACATGGCTGGCCCCATCAACTAGCTAGACTTGGTGCGGTTTGTACCGTTTTCGTTTGTTTTTGTCTACTGTTAGAATCTGCGTCAGAAACTTTTTAGCTACAATAGTAGATCGTTCGATTTGTGGTTCTTCCAGCAACCGAAAAAATATTCCTTCTCAGTGTAGGGCTCGCGAAACGATGCGTACGGAGAGGTTGGCGTGATCCATCTAGACTGCTGGTGAGTATATGTCTTACGTACGCTATAGCTACCAGTGTCACACTTATATAGCCTCGCAGAGCCACTCCTTCTCAGAGCCTTAGTGTATATAGCTACCTTCCTGCCTGCAGGATGCTCCAAATGGACCATTAATTCACTGTCGAACGTACAACAGTACTGCTGTGTACGTAGAACAGTTAGTGCTTTTAAAACCATTCTGCTGTATAATTACCCTCGGCGCGCAAGCGCAGCGAGGGTACAGTAGTTGGGTCTGTCTGTTTGTCTGTCTGTCTGTTACTCTATATCTCACTCCTTGAACGTCTGTTCGTCCCAGAAACGATACCATCTACCCAACGGGCGACGAAGGTCAGAAAATAAAGGCGGTATTCTCTGAAAATGCTCCGTTGCAAAGCTAGAGCGCGAAAAGCCAATATGCAAATACACAACGGCTTACCACAGTCGGATCGATCCGCGTGCTCTGCGTACTTCGGAGGCACCAGAAGATGCAACGCAGGGCGTGTATCGTGTAGTTAGCCCGCGTCAGACTCTGCGCGAGCAGCTAAAACTAAACCCAGCCCATCAATTAGTGGCACTGCGCATGCGTTTACTTACGCGTGCGCGTCACAGTGCGCCGAGGGTTTGCATTTCAGTGCTTTTCATTGTGTATTGTAATAATTATTATAACATAATGTTCTGTTGTGTCCTGTGCAGAATTAGATTGGATTATGTACTGGAGATTGTATTGTATACAAGTAAATTAAAATCCTGCGAATTTAAAAAAAGAGGGATATAGGGATCGTATAAAAAGAAAGGGAGACAAGATGGGGATGGGATACATGAAGCATGGTTAATGAACAGATTTGGGACCCGCTGACTCCCCCAGCCCCATCACACAATCCCTATTGTTGCCTGGTGTGCTACTCTTATAGGGAATGTGGCGTTATTAAAAGGCTGAAGGTTACTAAAAGCAAGCATTCTTTCACCGTTCCCCCGTTGTTTTTAGTAACATTTCTACTTTTATACTACCACAGTCCCTTTAATTAAACTCCACTTGGGCTCTATATGGCGTTGGTTACTCAGTAGCATGATTTTTTGTATTATAAGTTCTGAGTATTGTAATGGTGAATGTTTAATACTTCACCTAGGCAACAATATAGGGATTGTGTGATGGGGTTGGGGGAGTCAGCGGGCTCAAATCTGTTCATTAACCATGCTTCATGTATCCCATCCCTATCTTGTCTCCCTTTCTTTTTATACCATCCCTATATGCCTCTTTTTTTTAAATTCGCAGGATTTTTAATTTACTTGTCTCCACTCATTTTTATATACTACTATGTATATCTCTGTGAAAGGGGGCAAGCCCCCTATAAAAATTAATAATAGAGAAAAATGCCTGTTGTCGTCGTGGAAATGATGTAATATGCACGTGTACCAAGGTTCATCTCCATGTGTGCAGCCGTTAGCAAGTTTGAGGAGTGAAGAAGTATTTTAAAGAAAAGTGCCTGAGGCCATTTGTTGCCGTGGTCGTCATGGAAATGATGTAATACACATGCGTACCACAGTTTCACCTCCATACGTGCTACAGTTAGCAAGTTTGAGGAGTGAAGTTTTAAAGAGATTTGCCCGAGGCTTTGTCAAACAATATGCGGTCGTGATGGAAACATGTAACCATCATGGAAATGATATAATAGGCATTCACACCAAGTTTCATCTCTATGCGTGCTACCATTGGAAAGTTGGAGAAGTGAAGAAGTAAATTTAAAGAAAAGTGCCTGAGGCTATTTGTTGTTATTTACAAACATGTGATTTTGATGTTGGCTATTAAATACATTATGTATACAAACTTTCGTTCACATACCTCTTACCAATTGCGAGTTATACTGACACATGTTAACCCTTTATAGTGTATTGCCTGGGGCTATTTGTTGTTGTTTACAGTAAACAATGTTGTTTACAAACAAATTAGTATGACAGTCTCTTCGGGTGACGGATATGTACATTCTTACAAGATTCCATTACTATATGTGAACGCATCAAGTAAAAATAGGGTGTTTGCCACATTATAATGTTTCCCTGTGTACGCGAGTATATATAGCACGCGGGCGGAGGGGAAATCCCTTACGTAGCGCGCAATGCGCGTTGCGCGTAATGCCTCGTTCGGTTCTGATCGTCGCCATATCGCGCATGCAAACATTGTACCACGTCACAAACTCAAACTTGTCCCTGTGTGTCATAGCCCCTATTTTTACTTGATGCGCTCACATATGTTATTTCGTTTTTGAGTTACGCGAGTTCAATCTGAAGAAGAAGAAGGAAAAGAAGAAGATGAACAAAACTCCCTATCATAGCCCCATACAGCTACATGCCCATCCCTATTATACTAAGCATACTTAGTGATACGCGATACATAACACCTTATCATTTTCATGACAAAATTAAGGTGCAAACCCTCGGCGAACAACGCTTGCGCGATACTGCTAATTGATGGGCCGGACTATTGGTAGTATGCGTTTACTCGTGGTCTCCGGAGAGTCTGACACGGGCTAGCTACAGTCGTAGATAGCATGCGGGAGTCGATACATGCCGTTCGTTGTGACTTCCTGAGCCCCCAAGGTACACAGAGCGAGCGGATCAGGTCGCAGTAAGCCCAATGCGATTATGCAAATAGATATTTCATATGGCATACCTCTCGAACGAAGTCGTTTCAGGAAAATCGCCCTTTTATTTTTCAGGCTCGCGTAGTTCTGAAGCCGCTGTTATATCGCTAATAGGCCGCCTCGTAGCCTGAATAGGCGTCGACAGACACACACACACACACACACATTCAGAGTAAAAAAATCCCCTCTGCCATCCCTGTAATTGTAGTAAAAAACCACGCGCATGCTCCGCCGCCCACACAATTATTGGTATATACTCCACGCTCGGCTCGGTGGTGTATGACCCACGGCAGGTATGTGTATCTTGTCTAATCTTGTTACAACAAGGCAATAAGGATGTAGGTAAACTTCCTGTGCATGCATACTACCTTCTTTTACTGTTAGCTACAACCGACTTACAAAAACGGACAAACTGAACTATAGCAAGACAAACTGACAATACTGCGTTCATACCAGACTCCGTTACGTGAGGCACAGGGAGATTAAAGGGACCGAAACCTGTGACCTACACAATGATCTGCTGAGGAGCTCCCCTGGTGACTGGTGCATGACAGACAGAGAGACAGGGTTCTCTGGTTGTTGGGTTTGGGGATGGGTGGTGGGACTGCCGTGTACAGGCATTCAAAAAGCCAATGCATGTGACCACGGACAAAAGCCTCTGGATCCCTGGCACTCTTTCTTTCTCTCTTCCTCCTTGCAAACACACACACACACACACATGGACAGACATACAGACAGACGCGCCGAGGGTTAATAAGTTGCAAAATTACAAAATTACTGCGAAATGAAGTGTGATCGGTGGTGTGTGAATTGTGAATGGGATCAAAACATCAGTATTGCTAAATGCTGAACTGAGATTCAGTTTGTCACTGTAAGTTTTCTTTGACACATCACTAAGTAGCATACCAGAATAACCTGGCAAATGCTTTGCGAAATCGCGCAAACACGCTACCTACGCGTGTATTACGCGTCCTCCAACCTGTCTTGTCACCCGAAAATTGGCCCCCCCCCCCCCCCCCCCCACTTCCGCGGTGTAAAAATTGGTCCCCCCGGACCGTCCACAGCAAAACAAATCGATCCCCCTAGTCTATACTTTCTTAGTTTGTTTCTTTGGTACAAATAAGTTACCTGTAAGCCCTCTTTGCTATAGCTAGTACACTGGCTCGCTCCTATCAACCAGCAATTGGTCGTCGATCAGTCCCGCCCTTTTCCTTCTGCTCCGTGCTTAGAACAACATTAGTTTATTGCAAAACCATACGGAATCTAAATTTTTCCACATAAGGCTATTTGTTG